ACCCAGTAGATTTCTGTTAAAATGTTGTATATTGAGTGTAGTTCTCATTTATATCTTCTATTTGTCCCCTTCCTATGCTTTATCACTTGTATTGTTCTAATATAAAAGCTTCCACAAAACCACTGCCTTGATCATCCAGTTTGAAAAGATCTTTTGGACATTTAATGTTTTTTCCAAAGTTACACTACAAATTAGAACATTCTATACTAGAAATAATATGTATCAGCTTTTATGATTGATATTTTAATGTTGTTTTCTGCTACATATTATGTATAAAAAAAGTAATGCCTCTCTTGACTTATTGTGTGAATAACGTGGGTAGTTTGGGTTTGTTGGGTTTTTTTGTTAAATGAAAGCTGTGAACTTGTAACCATCATAGAGAGTAATGTATTGTATGTATACACTTTTGTAAGTTCTGGCCAGGATATCCAAGGAACAAGTGTGGTGGCAAATCTTCCAGTTCTGATGCGACAGAATCCTGCAGAAACACTTCGTCGGGTTTTACCGAAAATCAGAGTAAGTTGTGTGCAATGAGGTTTGAATGTGTCTTTTTCTGCCAGTATAAGTATTTTGTCAAAGGCAAAAAATCCCACTTTTCTTGCATACTCACTCTCTAGAAGTATGTCCAGCAGGTCTTCCACAGTAATTCACTAAATTTACGAAGTATTGCAGGTATTGTAGTTTTGGAAAAATGTTAAAACAGGAAAAGAAAGCAGAAATAATACTATTTACATATTTTAAAGATTTACCAGTGTTTTGAAAGCTTTTTGAGAACTCTTCTTGAGGACCAGGCTGTCATAATTGTTCATTTTGACATTCTCAATCTCCGTCCATCCAAACATTAAGATTTTCCTGCTGGTATACAGAAAAGTACACTTTACTTTTAGCTGTCTGAAGTTTCACATGCTGCGCTCTACATTTTCAGTAAGTCACTGCTAGCTATGCAGATGCATGCTGGCCACGTAATGTTACACAGTAATTTTATATAAAGATATGTTTGTATAAAGGGGGTGTTTAGTTTTTTTAACCTGGAGAAGAGAAGGCTCCTGGGAGACCTCATTGTGGCCTTTCATTACTTAAGCAGGACCTATAAGAAAGATGGGGACAGACTTTTTAGTAGCGCCTGTAGTATAGGACGAGTGGTAGTGATTTTAAACTGGGTGGATTCAGACTAGATGTAAGGAAGAAATTTTTTACAATGGGGATGGTGAAACACTGGCACAGGTTGCCCAGAGAGGTGGTAGATGTCCCATCACTGGAAGCGTTCAAGGTCAGGCTGGATGGAGCTCTGAGCAACCTGATGTAGTAGAAGCTGTCCCTGCTCATTGCAGGGGATTTGGACTAGATGACCTTTAAACATCCCTTCCAACCCAAACCAATCTACGATTCTGTAATTTTAAGGAAGATAAATATCTCTATATTTCCACTCTGCCCCAAGTATGACCCCTTTTGCCTAGAAGAAATTTAAAAATTAATTTAAGGTGTGGTTTAAGGAGCGGCTTCAGACGAATAAGAACAAACTGCACCACAAACGTCGCGGTGCAAATGTGAAGCTTAATAACTCCAAAGTAAAGTAACTCTAAATATCTCTAATAACTCTATGTAAGGCTACAAAAGGAATTAAGACTTTGGCTATGTTAGCCTGCCTGTTAGAGTGGTTTTCAGTGATTTTAAAGGCTACCAGCTGAGTGGAAAAATACTTTGATTTTGACTATCAAAATATCTGAAAGTTTGTTTCGGTAACAGCAAATTTCTGAGGTTTTTTTTCATTGGGTCAGTGTATTTTCAGTCTTCTACTGATACCATTGATGGTTTTTATGTGATTAAATCAAAGTTTTGATGTAGAGCAGTCTCTGGCCTCATCACATACAATTGATCACTTTGATATAAACCTGGTTCTAATTTATAGAAGTTGTCAGCTAAAGGAACATTGTGCTTGTTAGTAGCTGTTTGGCTGTAGTAGCTGTTTGAATGTATGTGCTCTCTGTGGGAAAAGAGGTAAAAATCACCAGGGTTTCTTGTAGAAATCTTATTTTCAAAGCACTAAGTTGTATTCATAATTTTATGGACAGACTCAGTTTCCCCATACATTTTTAAAGATATCTTTGACTTTTTCAGTAATGTGATTCTGTCATGATTTTACCAGGACACTTTGTAGAAGTTAGGGGTTTTTTTCCCATATAATTTAAAATTCCTTCCCTATTTAGCACAATTTGCCAACAGGAATTTTATTTTCTTGTTGCAAGCAACTGCTGCTTAAGAAAAGATCACTTGCTTCAGAAAGACTGAAAGAGTTTAACTAGTTACTGACTCAAGCTAAATATGAATTTGATGATCTCAAATATGTTGAACTGAAAGTTTGACTTATGTTAAGAATCTCTTCAGTATTAAAAAAAAAAAGCTTTGAGAAAAAGAATGACTTAAAGTCACAAAATAATTGAAAACCCTTTAACTTGCACCAAGTTTCTGCAGTTACTACCACGTGTTATTCTGACATCGATAACGGATTCTTTCCTAAACCAACCTTCAAGAAAAGGTTTTTAAAAAAATTCTCTGTTTAGCATATCAAATCCATTTTTGTCTCTGGTGTCTCTGCTTTGACAGCAGAGTTCTTCCAGAAATGAGGGAGTAACAAGAAACTGTGGGGTTTTTTTACCCTTATTTGTCAGGGTGTAGAGAAGTTGTAGTCTTTGCCTTTCTGTCTTTAATAAAAAGTCTAATATGGGAATACAGTTTTGGATTCTAGTCTTAGGTTTATTTATATAGCCATGGAGAAAAAAATTTAAAAGCATAATCAGGGCCTAGGACCTGGAAAATATTTATATGGTGGGAATCGGAGCTCAGTGTGTTTAGATCAGGTAGTACTTAATTACTTTGTAAAAGTATCTTCCTACATAATATTAAAAGACATTCAACTGAGAACAGTATATGAAGAAAGAAGAGTTAGGAATTGAAGACAGAAATATGAGAAATGAAGCAGACAGCTGTAATAATGAATCCAATCAATCTTTGAGCAAATAACTGAGAAAGGTGGTGTGTTTTTAATTTTGTAGTGTCATTTAAATCCCAACTGAATGCCTTTCTAGATGATAAATTAAATGAAACATAAGTTAATGGGCTCAAGGCAGAGGTAAAAGAGTGAAATATAATGAGGTCAGTCTAAATCCAAGTGTTCCTTTCAGATTTAAGCTTTATAAATTAAAACATTCTGGAAAATGCATGAGTCCTTCTGTGGCTATACTCTTATAAAGCAGATACTTCAATGGTGTTCTTTATCTAATATTTATTTAATCTGTAATAGAAGAACAGTTCTGTTGTACCCATGTTCACTGCACTTTTAACTGCAAAACAGTATGTGGCATAATTAACCATTTGACCTATTTTTTTTCTTATCCTTGTTTTTATTGAGGAATTGTCCTGCCCATTAAATGGAAACTGTTATTGGCTATAAAGGCCTAATCAAACCCAACTGTGATTAAAGTCTTGCAAATGTAGTCTGGCATTTCAGGGAAATAAGCTGAGTTAAATTACTGCACTTGGTTTCACTTCTGTAGATTGTGAAAAATCATTTGTGAATTCAAATTTGCTCATGAAAAATGAGTTGTGTAGTAGTTTCAGGGTGCTATTTATCTGACAGTATTGTCAGCATATAACTGGGTAGGAAAACCAGTGTAGTCATTTAGCATACTTGCAGAAACCCGAAAGCAAAAAATAAATACTGTTTTTATTAGATCTGAGGGTAAAACAGATACAGGAAGAAAGAAATGCAAGGAATGTTCTGAGTGGATACGTTGCAAGTTTTTATTTCATTTGTGAGAAATTGATAGGCCTGGTTACTTTTATAAATAAATATAGAAATGGTTATATGCAAATTGGTTATCATTCCTTCAAATCTAATTAAATTGAAATGGTATCAAAGACCATTTATGTATTTAACATAAATGTTTTAGGTCTGAGATGAGCAAAGTCAAACATACAATACATTAGTAAATATGCTAGCTCTATCTAATGATTAAATTGGATGTCAGTATTTTGGTTATGCTAATTAAACAAATATATTGTATATCATTTAGATGTTAATGTAGGAATGAGATAAAATATTTTTAAAATTCTGCAGTTAAAATGAAGTGGCATCCTTGTATGGGTTCTTTTGCACTGAGATTCCCACTCTCTGGATTTCTGCATGCACCTCCTCGTGAACCTCGGAAGGCATTGAAATGCAGATTTAGGAAAAGCTTAGACATTCTTTTCTGCTTTTCTTGTTGTGCACCAAATGGCTCCTTTCAAATGATGGTAATCTTATTCCTTTTTCCTACCCTTGGGCACTGCCACCAGAAGCCATGCAGGGAGATTGCAGGTGTCTATCTGATCGACTAACAAGAGATTTTTCCAAATGCTGTGATGGCAGAAAACTGTGGCTACTGTTGTTGAAGTGTATACATCAAGCCTTATTTGGTGCATTCTGATTAGTTCCAAACTCTTTTTCACAGTTACTTATTTTCCTAATATATCAGTCTTCCCTTGAAAACTTTTCTTTTTTTCCTAGTTGATTTTATAGTTTAAGAAGAGGTGGAGTGATTTTCCTAGCATTGATTTTAAGGTCCATCCTCATTGTATCTTTGAGCTTCTGTAATCTCTATTATTTCTGTGTCTTTCTAGTCCTAAGTGCAGATTTCTGTGATAGCAATGCAGTTACTAAAATGTTTGACTATGTTTCTGCTTGCAGCATTCTTTCCAGACAATTCTGTTGCTGCAGGGCATAATGTGCATTAATCTACAGGTGAATTTTCTGTTTTCCAAGTAATGGAATAAGCCAGGCCTTCTAAATTTTTGCAAGTTTTGATGCCTGAGTTTAACTTGTAGACATTAGGATAATTCAAGAACATGCTAATACCCTTAAACTCCATTAAATACGCTTGTCTGAATAAGATACACACGAAAACCTTTTTTCCTCCAGAGTGAGAATCTGTGGAGGATCCATGTAAAGAAAAATACATGACTTTCTAAATAAATAAATTTGTATTAAGTAAATTTAAGTAACTCAGTGAGTTCCGTGAAATTGGAATGAGCAGACCCATACATTTTCATATGTGGAACTGTACAGTTTTGAGTGCAAACATCAATGCAGGCAGGTGTGTAAGCAATCTAGAAATTTACAATTCAATGTCTCCCGAGGTCCACGAGGAGGCACATCCAGAGAATGTGTTCTCACACATGATTATCCAGAGTTGTGTGGATCTGTGGAGGAGACTATTTGGAAACTTATTTGATGGTAAGTAACCCTGTTTGCATTGCGTACAAAGTGAATGTGTACGTGAAATTGAATTCGGCTTCATTATGTTCTGGTCTGCAGCGGTGTCTTAGCATCTACAGTGTGTAAATAGTTCTTTTGATTATTTTGGGGATTTTTTTTGACAAGTGTAAGCCAAAATCCCAGAACAGTATGCACAGCTATTCTGATCCAAGAAACAGTCAAATTACAAAATTAGTAGGTATCCTTACTCTTAGCTGTGGCTGTTGTAGTAACAATGGAGGAACAAGAACAGAGATAGGCTGTGGAGATAACAAGAGAGTGGTTTCCATGGCTATTGAATGCAAATATTTTATCACACTTGGAAGATCTCCTTGAGAGCAGCCCTGCGG